GCCTCTCTCACAGCGTGCAAGTGGGCTGTTATGGCATAAGGGGATGGGGGCAGCTCGCGCTCAACTTCATCAACGTGGCGAGCCTTGCACGTGAGAGGCACAGTGGAGGTGGAGTTCAAAGAAGAATGAGAAATTTAATGGTTTCAATCTGCCCTTGTTTTTTCTTTTTGTTTTTATTTTTGCATGTTATCACTGTGCCCGTTTTTTGCTTTTATTCTTTGTTCCGCAAAGTGCGCTCTTTTAGTTTGTAGTGATGTGACAATATATATATATATCGTCACAAACAGAACTGCCCGGTAAGACCGTAGGCAGAGAGAGAGAAGAGGACAACAAACGAGGGGCTGTGACAAATATATATATGTATATAAGAGTTAAAAAAGCTGCTATTTAGACTGAGAAAAAGAGAAAAGAACGACGATTTTTGATACAGGTTTTTACTATATATATATATATATATATATATATATATATATATATATAAAGACGAAGTTGGAGCTATGGCGCTGCAGGTAAGTCTCCCTGGCCTCCGCCCAATCTCTCTCTCTCTCCAGTACTACTCTAGCTCCTACTAGCGCCCAGCGCTGAAGACTAYTGCTAACGCTACTACTACAACTGCAGCGCTCCTCCAGAGTGCTGCTGCCGAATCCTGAAGACTACCTCCTGCCTCCTGAACTGCACGTGAAGTGCCTGGGAAGTCCCTATGAACTACCTGCAGCCTGCAGGGCGGGCCAGTCTTATATAGTGCTGGCCTGTCCAGGAGGCTGGTCTTGTCAATGCCAAAACGTGTCAGACCCTGGGGTTGAAGCTCAAACAAAAGTCGTCTTGAAAATAGGCCAAAAATGGCCTGAGCTAAAACCCTGGTCTGGTGCCTGAGTTTCAGGGCAGGTCGATCTTACGAGGGCCTTAAAATGGCCCTCCGTTTCAGGCTGCAAAGACTCAGGGCCGGAAAGGCCCTGTTTTAGGCTGAAACGACACAGGGCCTGTAGGCCCTTGTTTTCAGGCTTTCAGGCTGAAACGACACAGGGCCTATAGGCCCTTGTTTCCAGGCTTTCGGGCTGAAAAAGACACGGGCCTGAAAATGGCCTGTGCAGCCTGTTGCAGGCGCAGCATGTAATGGAGTGCCTCATGAGGTGCATACGCGGACCGTGGCGTGGGGGACTTAGCCGCACTCCATGCATTGATCTCAGATGCGTCGCCTTGGTGAATGAGAGTTAAGGTTGTGGGGAAGAAGCGGGAGAGAGATGCGCTGGCCAGGGCAGGGTGTGTGGGCACCAAGAAGAAGCAAAGGGAAATAAAACATTTACGCTCAAGACACAAGAAAAGGAGAAGGGGAAGAAAGTTAAAAGTTGCCGGCAACAGCTAGCAAGATCGAGTCACGACGGAGGGAATGGGCGGGAAGGACCATGCGCATGAGGGAATGCCAGATCAAGAATCAGGGAGCCTAAATCTTGAGGTTAATTAAAAGTCCTAATCACCACAAAAATTCTGAAAAAGAAATCCTTTCAGAGGTCTTATAAACCTCCCAAACAACCTGACAGGTTAGTCGTGGTGATTGGTTTGATCACAGTGCAAGGAGCAAAAGGAGAAGATGATGCTATGGTGTGAAGTGCTTCGGTTCTCCTGACCTCTATGTGAAAAAACAGGTGGAGGGAGGGGGGTTGGGGGAAAGTATCTGACATAGGATGGCATGAGCATCTCTGCATTCTTTTATGAAAGTTATTGGTGTTCTCTTGCTGCGAAAACATCAGGTGTTTTATCTGTAATGGTGAAAGATTGAGATTTGGAAGGATCACTGGTTGTTTACATATGTTTCTTCCTTCTTTGGTATTCAGTCCTTTGTCAGGTGCTCCTCTTTGACTTTTCATTCAATCGCATTTCCCTCTACCAGCGGCAGGAGCTTCTACACTTTCCTTCAAGCTTGGTAACACATTCAGTTGGTGCTTGTGCAAAGAATGTCAGTGTTATCTGGGATTTTGCTGCGTCAGCATTTGTTGCTTTTTGAAATCTGGCTTCTTCACTGTTGTCTCTATCGTAATTGTGCTCTCCGTTTCCTTGCAGTGGCTGGAGGCCACGGACACTGTCTACGGCATGTCTGGACACGAGACCGGGGTTCCTAGACGAGACTTTAGGCAGTATGCAGGACGGGGGCAGGTTGAAGGGAATAAAATAGTGCCAAATGCCTTGCACAGCCAGGAGGAACTAGGGACTGAACCAAGCTCTGTGCACAGGCTGGGGCCTTCAGCAAGGAACACTGTGGTAGAAGCGAAGCCAGAAGATTCTATGATAGTCGCTGACTCTGCAAATGGGCTTGGAAATTCTGATGCTAAAGCTAGTGCAGGGACAAGGATGCAGACAAGGGCAGATTATGTGGGCGCCCAAGATTATGTAACACACACGCAGATGATGCAACCCTTTGAGTCTAGTCCTTCAACGGATGATAGAAATGCACCAAGCCCGGCATCCCAACCTTTGCACTGCGTTGAATCAGCTTCTGTGAGTACCTTGGACCGGCCAGATCACAGAAGAGCAGCACAAGGCTCTAGGGTTGACTTGCTGGCACAAGGTCCAAGACAATATGAATCGAGGACGGGACAACGGGATACTGGGCATTCAGTATATGGGTCTAGGCCAGAGCCAAGGACTGCTTTATCAACTGGGTTGTCAAGGCTTTCTCATAGACCAGAAACTGGGACATTGGTGAGTTTGGCAGGATTGCTCTGTCATCCTGCACAGTTAGCGCTGTCAAGAGACATTGGTCGAGTGGATCTGCTCCAAAGGGCTGGGTGATTGGTCAGCGGGGGTTCTTTCTTACCAGCTCTTCTTTGCCTACTAATTTTGATATGGTTGTCTTCTCATTGTCTTTTTTTTGGCCTCCTTTGTCGATGTGGAATGCCATAACAATCCTCTGGTGAACATTGCATGTCTGCGTAGTATTTGCATCCGTCTTTGTTGACCCATTGAGCTTTTGATTGTCACTGTGCTAAATGTGGCTGTGAAGATGGGTAAAACGAGAGTCTGGAATTGCAGTATTATAGTGTAGCATTGTGGTTTTCTGATGCAATGCCTCCTTGATGTGTGTGTAGATCAAGCCCACGCCGGAGCCTGTGATTACAACGAGCTATCCAGATGAGCAGCCAGTACGTCTCTTGACTCATCACCTTCTAATGCTACACGATTGTTCTTGTCGTTGGCTCCAATATATAGTGCAAGAGAGCTATGTGATACATGCTCAGTTGAGCGATGTATATGGCACCAAGGATCCGCAAAGTGATGAAAAGGGCTCGAATGGACAATGCAGTGTCAGCAAAGCATCAACGAGCAATGTACATCCAGATACATATGAAAATAGCACAATGTAGTGCAGGGGAAGACTCAAAGATATAACCTGACCTATCAATGACTGATGCGCATCCCATCATACACCACACATGTGAGAGAGGGAGGAGGGACCACATACATGGAAGAAAGATCCCTCCTTGCACACGCACATGGGGGTGTTATGATTCTGGTTGTCTGTTGACCAACACTCACTCATACACAGAAGGAAGGGGAGAGGATAGGAGTATCACACCACACAGGGAGAGATAAACACAGCGGAAGACTTGACCATGCAATATGACAGGGTACACTGAAAGTGCAATTCACTCCACTCAATCCTCACAACCAGTCATAAAGGAAAGCCGAGTAGATCACATCCAAGAAACAATGAAGCAATGATAGTCTGAACCCAGTATCAACACTGTTTATTATACTCAGAGTCTCGAATTGTCAGAATAACTTCGGAACTATGATGCGCTGCTCAGAGATGAGCAGCGCTTCACTCCCCAACCCTGATGAACCGCTATCACTACCCCTGAGTCCCTGAGACATCAAGTGCCACCAAGATACAGCCTCCGAAGGGAAGCGCCACCCTGAAACAGGCCTCTGAGGCCAAGTGCCACTCAGAGGATGAAGGAGAAGACCAGCGCCACAGTATCCGATGATGATGAAGTGTCGAAAGACTTCCCGGGTGGAAGTCTGCAGCAGCGCCACCACTCCTGACGAGATGATCTCTGAGGAAGATGCTGCAGCTATAACTGCAGCGCCACTACCCTGGAACCCCATTAAGGAGGAGGGTCCAACAGGAAACCAACTTCCCTCGCCTCCAACAGACCTCAATAACCCAGACCTCTGTACAGCCCCGCGTGCTGACAGAGTACAGTGTTATGAACTTGGTTGTCTGACGATTTTTTTACCGCCACTCACACACAGACAGTGTCATACACGCCCATACATGCATAAGATAAGGGGGAGAGGAGACAGAGTCCACCCTGCACACAGATCAGAGTAGGCAGCGAAAGTTCAACCATGCACAGATGGGGAGAAGACACTTAGTGTTTCTCACTCTCTGACAGACTCCCAACAACCAATCACAAGAAGAACCTGCGAGGATAACAATTGGAATACACACTGATGATGAGCCAATTAACCAAAAATCATTACAGAGTTTGTTCCAGTGTCTCGCCACTCTCAGAACCTCACACTCCGCTCTCTACCCTACACCCACTTAGTAGCGCCACATTAGAATGGCCTCCCAGAGGCCAGCGCCAACCACCCAGATGAAGAACAGATCCTGCGATGAAGTCTTCGGTGCCGCTGAACAACTCTGACGAAGAACCGACAGCTATGGCTGCCGCCACCCACAAGGACTCAGTGAAGAGTCTCCACCCAGACCAGCCACTCGCAGGAACCCATAGGGGTTGATGCGCAGATGATGCCCCGGCTATGGCAGGACCTCAACAGGAGGGCTATGGCTGCTGTCCGCGGTGAGGGTCTTAGGGTGCCGCCTGCAGACAATCGCCACTCCAAAACTCTCCTGGCTCCAAACGCTACATCGCGAAAATGAAGCGCCGAAAGTCGCAAACCGATCCCCCTCAACTATTAATAGACTCCTACTACTCTAGCCTAGACCTAGACCGGACTGACTGACCAACCGGTACCGTTTCTGTTTCGGCCTCTCGGCCTCTACCGGACCCGGCTATAGGCTATAGGATCGTCTATCAGCTTAGGCCCTTAGGGCCTATCTCTCCTAGGGGTAGGCCTGCCCTTCTAAACGGAGTGAGGATAACTGTAGGAAAATTGAAGTACTGCTGGGCCTATTTTTCCCATATTTGCAGACATGTCACTCACGAATATCCTTACAGGTAGGTCTCTCGGTTAGCCCTCAGCTAAACAAAATTACGAATCTACCCTACTGCTGTACTGTACAGCCTCACAGTTAGTCTCGACAGTCGGAATCAGCAAGTCATTGCAACAGCGCAGGTCCCAACTATGGTTGGCACTCTGAAGGTCTGGCTATGTCTGTCTCCCTAAACGCTGAGCCGTCATCACTTCCAGTTCACGCGTTGCACAGCAGCGATGTACTCGGTACCAACTGTCAAAAGCCCTGAACCCATGTGTCCATCCTATCTATAGTCTAAACTAGCCTAGACTCGACCTAGACCGGGCTGACTGACCGACCGTTACCATTTCTGTTTCGGCCTCTAGGGCCTCTCCCAACCCGGCTATAGGCTATAGGACTGTCTAGCAGCTTAGGCCCTTAGGGCCTGTCTGTCCTAGGGGTAGCCCCGGCCTGCTATTCGCAGTTAGGATAGCTGTAGGAATTCCAGTTAGTATGGGCGTATATTTTTTTCGCAAATTTACAGATATGTCCCTACCGGATTTCCGTACAGGCAGGTCTCTCGGTTAGCCCTCAGCCAAAAAAAATTACAAATCTGACCTACAGATGGTACAACCTCAACAAGAGAGAGGCTACAGGCGACCAGAAACCAGCAAGTCATTGTAGACCTACCCTCCCCCGGAGCGAGGACCTCCGAGCTAGGAGCGTAGGCGTGCAGAACGTCGAAGGGGTTCTCCCTTCTGTGCTGCCTCAAATCTGAGGACAACAGACTTTGCTGTTTGCAGGAGTTCCTTGCGAGTAAACCAGCGATCTTCAGTGTGCGGCTGGTAGCAAAACTTTACAAGGTATTCCTTATTTGGTCCTGTACCTGACTCGTCCTCAATGGACTCCACGTCACATCCCTTGCCAGGGATAGGAGGACCAAACTGAGGAGGCCTGTCTAGAAATGCACCAGCTGATGTAAATGGTAACAGCTTAGATGCATGCAAGACAGGGTAGATGCAGAGGAACATCCACTGTATAGGATGGTCCAAATGGATCAGCTCCCACTGTATCTAAGACCTGCCATGGACCCATATATCGTGGCAGCAACTTAGGTGAAATGTCCTCCTCTCGTGACAACTTAGAACTGAGTACCCACACCCAGTCACCTGTGCGAATAGTCTAGGGTCATCTATGCCTACTAGCCTGTTGAATCATAGCCTTTTGGACTTTCAGCAGGTTAGCACGGACGCGCTCTATGTCCACACGGTAACTCCTGGTGAACTCTGCAGTTCCAGGAGTCAACGTAGGGGTAGCCTTATCGATGATGTCATCGAGAGGCTGTCGTGGCTCACGACCCCAGTGCAACCGGTAGGGTGTGAAGCCTGTGGAGGAGTGTACAGAAGTGTTGTACACAAGTTGTGCACGACTCAAATGGAGATCCCAGTCCTGCTGATCTAGACTGATCACAGGACGCAACAACTGAAATAAAATCTGGGTCATCCCTTCAGCTTGACCATTGGCTTCAGGATGACAACCATATGTCATATCCAGGCGAGAATGAAGGTAATCCCTGCAGTAGGATTGCCATTCATTGGTGCAAAACCTGGGATCTCGGTCACTGACTATAGAGGTGGGTGGTCCATGATATGTAACCCACCTGTCAACAAATGTCGCCCGAACAGCTGGAATGCGAGCCTCAACTGGTAAGGGGATGAACTCTGCGTATTTGGAAAACCGATCCACGCAGACCATAACCTGACGCATACCACGGGGTGTGGTCCTACCCAAGTCAGTAAAATCAATAAACACTGACTGTGCAGGTACTTCAGGAATGAGTAGTGGTTTGAGTAGGACAAGGGAAGGTCATCGTACTACCTTGTTCCTTTGGCACAACTCACAGGTTTCCACATAGTGCAGCATGTCACTCCTCATCTCCTTCCACAAGAAGCGCTGCGACATGGCTGTATACGATTTGAGGGCACCAAAGTGACCACGGGCATCATGACATTCTGACATCAGAAGTGTTCTCAGCTTGCGGTCCTGGGGAATACATAGGCGTTCCTCACCTCTGCTGCATGTGTACTGCAGATATGAAACCAGAGTATATCCTGGTTCAAAGGCAGGATCACCCTGAAGGTTCCTCACTATAGGCCCGAAAATCGCATCCTGGGGCAACAGACGGGCAATGGTATGACGAGTCCTTTCTCCAAATGAGTAAAGGAGATCAGAAAGAGAGTGTCAGGCCTACGAGAAAGGGCATCCGCTACTCGATGGTAGCAGCCCTTCTTGTGCTGCAGTTCAGAGTCGAACATATCGATGAACTGAATGTAGCGAGCAAGCTTATCATTCAACTCTCCCTGGGACTTCATCCAATGCAAGGTGGAATGATCTGAAAAGATCTTGAAATGCCTAACCAGGACAATGCAAGGTGGAATGATCTGAAAAGATCTTGAAGTGCCTACCCAGGAGAAAGTGTTTCCAATGCTTGAGCGCTGAGACAAGAGCATAAAGCTCTTTCTTATAGGTAGAGTCATGCAGCTTCTTTATTTTGATCTTCTTGCTCATGTACTCGACAAACTGCAAACCATTCCCATCATCCTGTTGAAGTACCGCCCCTACACCGTACTGACTCGCATCAGTGGTAAGCACAAAAGGCAAAGTAGGGTCAGGTAGCTTCAAAACAGGAGCACGAATCAAGGCCTCCTTGAGACGTGTAAAAGCCTCATGACAGTTTGATGTCCACAGAAAGGAAGTGTCTTTCTTTGTGAGGTCAGTCAGAGGTGCTGCAATGGAGGAGAAGTTTTTGATGAACTTCCTGTAATTAGATGCAAGACCCAAGAAAGACCGAACATCACGAATGTTAACAGGCTTCGGCCAGTCCCGAACAGCAGCAACTTTTGTTGCTTCAGGAGCCAACCCCTCTTCAGAAATTACGTGACCCAGATAGATCACTGAGGGAACCCCAAAAGAGGATTTCTCCCTGTTGATCTTATA